CGATTTTCTTTAAGATAGTCAACACGTAATATTATGGAAACTGTTTTTCTGAAGACTAACATGTATTAATTATTTTCAGGGATCTTGCTTTTAAATATTTAAGAACAGATAAATCTTAAAAGGGAAAATAATTTTTACTCTGTTGAATTTTATTAAGATACAAATGATGATGAGTTCATGCACCATTTTGGAATGATGAGTTCCATGGAAGTTTTAAAAAATAAATGAAAATAGATATTCATGCCTTGGGTGGAACTGCACAAAATATTCCAAATTTGATTGTGTCATGGTTGTATATAAAGCCTTCATAATATGTATTTTAAAGTATTTTTTCAGTGTGAAATCCAACCTTTTCAAAATAGTGGCCCACTTGGTGAATCTTATTAGCAAAGTGTCCACTACTTCCCCAGGACCTTTTTCATAGTACTAAGGAAAAAATATATATATACCTCATTATGGTCTAGAACAGTTTTCCCCAACTTGGATTCCCTCCAGAGCTGTGAACCTCAATTCCCAGAATTCCTCAGCCAGATTGGCCATTAATGAGAACTTTGGGAACTGAAGTTCACACAGTCTGGAAATTGCCTAGGTTGGGAATAGCTGGCTTATCACAATATGTGAACCCAGCAATTTTGACTGGTTCATGGTTAAACCAAACCATGATGTAGTGTAATGTGTGTACCTCATATGTATAAAACAGCTTCATATGTGAGCAGTTAGTATTACTTTGGATAACCAATCTGGTAGGAAAAAACAAGTCTAGATGTTCCTCATCAGCTCCTGGAGTCTCCAGAATTGACATCCTTTGACTGGAGATATAAAGGCTAGGCAGTACTTGGCAGAATCCAGTGCTGTTCAATTGAGTCATCTTTTTCGAAAAGAGTAGCAGCACATGTCAATCGTTCTGCCCAAGTGGGTCCACCCACTCTTCCCTTTTCATCCTCATTGTATTCATAAGCTTTGACAATTGTGGCTTGTTCAGATTTGAATAGGCCTACTATCCCTGGTGTGCCAGTCAGAGAAAGATGGACAGTGTCTCATAGGAAGCCTACATCCAGCCCTAAATGCATAGTCTGCAGCCTAGAAAGCATGTGCATGCATATGTACAGCTGAGCTATGGGCCTCTTGTCCTGTTTATTGTTAGCCTCTTTAAACAACCATCCACCGCTTCACATCCTGAATAACTCATGTGGATGATCTGCTGAAGAGGAAGCTCTAACAATTCCATGAATAGCCCATAATAAGAGCCGAACACTTTATTAGAACTTGAAAGAGACTTATTTTCGTTCCATCGTAGTCATCATGAAACAGCTAGTATGGAAAATGAAACACTTCTGCCACTTTTTGGTCCTTAAGGGGCTGTGTCAAAATAACAATCCCGTTTGGTAAGGGAATATCTCCAAATTCCTTATTGCATACAATAGATGTTTTCCCCATGATGTAATGGAAGCTAATTTTTAAATGAATCTGGTGAGCCTCTTGCTAAATGGCAGATAGTTGTATTCTCTCTTAACGCCACAGAAAATGGAAATAATGGTTTATGCAGAGGGGATATAAATAATACGCAACCTCTCTACCTTTGCCCTCAGGAAGTTTCAGTCATTGGCATTTCCATGAAAGGTAGTGAAAGACTCACGATTAAAAAAACAGCAGCCACAAATAGTTAAGGCCCTTACCAGTCACTGGGAGAATTCATATATCACACTAAGCCATCATCTGGTTTTAGGTGCAGCATGCTATGTGAACCTCACTAGTCGAGGTTCTTCTGGTTGACATACCATGGTTTGACATAGTATGTTAGCTTAGCCATGTAATACTGATCTAGAAAGATTAATGAGCTGATTCAATATTGGGTATCTTCTAAGCTAGCATTGGCCTCTTTGGTCCAACAACCAGCTCTAAAATTTCATACCAGGTAAATTTAGTTAATTACCAGGACTTGTAACTCAGTGGTAGAGCATACAGGAGGTTCTAGGTTCTATCACTGGCAAGTCCAGGTAGGGTTGGAAAAACTCCTCTATGCAACCCTGATCTTCTTATCTACTATGAATTTGGCTTACAACTGTGTTTTTCCACTTCATTTGCTGTGAGGAACAGCTTTGAATCTCCTGTTCCCTCCATTTTCCTATCATGTTTAAAATGGATTTTTCATACTTTCCCACATTCATCCCCTGAAGAGAGAGACAACATTTCACCCCTGACATTTAGTCATGAGGGAGTTATGAAAACTGTATTTTTGGATGTGGTATTGAGTCCAGTTTGCAGATTGGTGCTAATGCTTCTTCCTCCCACCCCGAAATCATCCCTGCCAAAACGTGAACTGCTTGTGGTGCCATAAATGGGCCAGCAGATTCCCCCCCTGAAAAAAGTCCCGTTATTGTCAACAAAGAACACTCACATTTTTTCCTCAAGTTTGTAAAAATTAGATCAATTTTAAGCTGAATGCAAGACAATGAGGCAGTGTCTCAGAAGAAGCATCAAGAAACTTCCTGAACTCTTCAACTTCCTTTCAGCTTCTTTTATGCTGAGGGGTTCTGCTGTAAGCAGCTTTTTCCTGGTGATCAAAAGAGATCATTTTGAATTTTTACAGAAAAAATCATTGTTCCAATAGAAATGACTGATTTTTGCATTCTCCGCTTTGGGGCCCAATTTCCAAGTGAGACTTGTGTCTACGCATGCCTGGCCCAGCTGATGTTTTGTTGTCTCTGAGTTTTGAATAATGGAGAGGTTCTGGAAAATCATATAGGAGAGAAAGCATAGTCAATGTTGCATGGTCAGATGATATGACCGAACATGCCCATCTGGCAGCCATTTTGAGAGCACCTACAACAGAGCAACCTTCCAAATGGGTCTGCTTGCCCAGTAATCAACCTTGTAATGAATGTTAAAATAAAACCTTGTTCAACACCAGTTAGAGTAAAAAACAGTCTCACGATCAAACCTTTCCCAAATGGTTTATAGCCCACCACGAAGCAGGCGTGGGTTATTCCTGTCATGAAATGCATTTCTGTGTGCATCACTTCTTACCATTTAACTTACACTCAGATGAAGTTTGAGCATTTAGGCATTAGCATTACATACAGTGGTACCTCGGGATACGAACTTAATGCGTTCCTTGACTCTGGGCGTATCCCGAATTGGTCGTAACCCGACGCAAATTTCCCCATAGGGTTCAATGTAAATCCGGTTAATCAATTACGGGCTCAAAAGGTAGGAGAACAATATACAGTGGTACCTCGGGATACGAACTTAATGCGTTCCTTGACTCTGGGCGTATCCCGAATTGGTCGTAACCCGACGCAAATTTCCCCATAGGGTTCAATGTAAATCCGGTTAATCCGTTCCGCCCTCTGAATTTGGTCGCACCCCGAAGCAAATTTTCCCATAAGGTTCAATGTAATGACCGTTAATCCGTTCTGGCGTCCGCGGACCACACGTCAGGGGCGGGAGAACGGCCGGGCGCTGCACGGCGCGGTGGGAGAAAGGTCGGGCGCGGCGCGGCAGGAA